GGAGCTCTTTACTCTCTTACCATCGTAAACCTTAAAGGCACAGCTTAGGCAGAAGTCGGATGAACGATTCCTCTTGATCTGTAGGATAGACCCCCAGGGAAAATCTTATGTGTGACACTACTGTGCGTGGAACTCTCCCAACATGGGCGCTAGGGCTTTGCAAAAACAGCTTCAACAGCTTCCATTTTCCCTGTACGCAGTAGGCTCTTGTCTGGCGCCTCCTCATCTATCGTGCTTTCTCGCCATTTTTTCTTTACTGTCGGCCCCCTTCGTACCATTTTTTTCATATTCATGTGCAAGAAGCAAACTATTTTGATCCTGGGGCATGCCTTAAGGGCTTTGTGGTAATTACTACTGTTCCTCTCTCTGCGCGACTAGCTCTGTCAATTTTAGTCTTCATAGTGCTTTACAATCCTTGCTTGTATTTGTGAGGGAGAGTCCGTACGTCAAGTGCTGCTTTTCCAGAGAATCATCTGCTATTCACATCATCAGCCATCTTCTCGAGGAACATGCACAGATTGCCGTCTACGATCCAAAGGTTTTGCTTTTTACACTCTTAAAAAACGAAATTTTGTGTGGCCCATGAGGGCAGTGAGGGCAATAACAGAAGGCGGAACTAGAATGGTTGGACCGCCTACCAGTGCCCTTCCACTAGTTTACGTCTCCAAGTTAGCTCCGACTCTCAGTGATCGTCTACACTGCCTTCGAATATACAGGGGTGGCCAAAAAAGAGACACTTTGCCCATGGCGCACATCATCAAACTTTTCGTCGCACAGGGTGCCGCTGTTGATGAAAGTTTTACGGCAAATATCCCTTAGATGTCCTCCATAAGTAGAAGCAGGCCCTCTTCCACTGCCCTCACCGTCCTCAAATATGACGTCATCTTCCATCACCGTTGAGCTCAAGAAGGCCTAAAGTAATCGTTCCAGCCTGAAGCTGCTACGGAATTTCTTCAATCGGTTAACTGATAGATTGCTTCCTAGAGACAGTAGCTCTAAAATGTATGGTCGTAAAGCTTCCATGATCCCCGAGGACCAGTCTAATCGTGCCCGAGCTGCTATGTCTGGATATCTTTTGTGTGCAAAAAGCGAGTATAACGGTTTTGATAGATTTGGGATGTTGTTTCAATACCAGTTTGGGAGCAGTCTGGTTTGAGGTTTAGCAAGTGGGTTAATTGCAATGCAAATGCAATGGCTGTCTGAATGTGGAGCAAGTATCTCTTTTTTGTCTCCTTTTTTTGGTCCTTTGGCCACCTCTTTTTTTCATTTATCTTACTCTTTCAAGGTCACGGAAACGCAGATGAGATGGGAGCTGGAACAGCGATCACCTGCAGACTTAGGTGAGGTCAGCTGGAGCTAGATGGGTTTGATTGTGTGGATTCCAGCTTTCAAAAATTTCTTTTTTAGTCTCGAAATTGGTGACGGTTCATGAAAATCCCTATTCGGCTGCCGAAGATGCTCATGCCATAGTGGTTCTTACCGAGTGGGATGAGTTCAAGGTAAGGAACGTCAAAGTTGGGAGCTTGATGGGAATTTTCCGCTTTTCTACAGCTATTGCCTCACCAAATCCCGCCCACACTCCCTTTGGTGCGCGGGGCCAGAAGCTCTGCCCACAAGTTCATTGTGATCAATATTCAAAAACTGAGCATGTTCCAGACGCTGGACTATGAACGAATCTACAAGACGATGAAACATCCGGCGTCAGTGTTCGACGGTCGGCTGATCCTCGACCAACGCCAACTACGCGAATACGGTTTCCGACTTTCGCCATCGGTTCGGCACCCGACCAAGCGTACAATCTCTTCGGTGTGCCACTCGATTAGGAGCAGTTTGGAAGTGCTGTCCATCTGATTTCAAGACGGCTGTCTACTTAGACATCTCACACGGGCACATCTGCCTTCTCCTACGAATGTGACTATCAACGCCTGCCTGTCACTAATGTCCAGTTCCTAGGATCAGAATTCCATTGAATCCACGAGATTTCCTTGTTATGTCACTTATTTTTCTAGGCAAAAAGCTATTCACTCACTGTCATTGTATGCAAGTAGGCTGTTTTCAGGCTTCAGACTGCCCTCTCGGAGTATGTTCGTGAAATAGAAAAAGTATTGATCGAATGAGCGCAAAATCTATGCTCATTCTAAGCACCAGGTTGTCTAGAAGAACTTCATTCTCATTTTCGTGCCAAACTCTTGACCTGCGAGGCTGCTGTAACGCCATGCTTATTGTTTCTCCTTTTGTCAAAGTGAAAAGATTTTCGTCTCCATGGAACGCCATTTGCGCCTACTATAAACCCAGTAGAATTTTCGACGCATTTTCCAAAATGGGCGATTTTACTGTGCACGTTCGCAATGTACGGTTTCATTGTTTTAGGAGAAATGATGAGCCTCACGGAGACCATTTGTGATTGCGCCGTGCTTGCGAATTTTGGGGCAACAAAGGGCATTGGTCGAAGACGTGAGCTTTTTTAATGCGACGGCTCTTTCTAGACGATCCAGAAACTCGCGTTCGTAGGGCAGTCAGGAGTGCGGAAGCAGTCTTGCACACATTCCTTTATTTATTTTGCACGATATAATAAAGCTATTACTTATGAAATCCTATATGTGAAATTCGGTGTTGGTACCATACTACCTGTCAATGATATGGTTCACAACATAGAAAAAGCTCCTTGTTAAGTCACTCGCTGCCGTCAAAGGCAGGTGGTACGGTAAATTAGACGAAGGTGAAATGTGCTTTGTGGAGAGGCTTAGCCAAAGGAGGGCTGGGAGGTGTGCTTTCATGGCGTGGGCGTCCCTCAATGGTCTGATAGGGTCTTACTGCAAAGCTGAATCTTTGCGAACTAGCACCTTAACGCGCAAGTACTCCAGCCATCGGTACACATGCGGCCTTGTATGGCTTTATGTAAAAATGACTATTTTTAGTCCCGCATAAGTCGCTGGCTTTGGTCAGGAGGCAGATGATTAATTTTAAAGGTGTTCTTCACTGCAACCCGTAGGTTCCTTGAGCTGAGTTCCTGTGACTCCCAATTGAATTTTTTTTCCACTTATCACAAACGGGACATTCAAAGATTACAACAGACTCCATGGTCGCTCTGGTATTCCCTTGCCGCGGTTTACATCCTAATAAACATAACTGAAAATTTGAATGTATCTGTTTCGGAGAACAAACTTCCATGCACCTCCTACATGGGTTCAAAGCATAGTCAGTAGGAATGATTCTTCAAGCCTTTCAAGATTGAACTTTTTATACAAGGCTTACGTTTCGGCTTCTTCGCCTTCGTCAGAGCCTGAAATGGTCAAAAGCATGTGTAACTTGCTCGCTCAAACGCCTCAACAAAAACTCAAGACTATTTCACTAGACTAGGAAACTTCCAAAGGTATTGATCGATAGAGGCATGGGACTGCTCACCTTGAACTCCGCCGCTAAGACAGGAGGACGACCACCCTCGTACTAACTAGTATGTGGTAACTTAGTAGTACCTCCCACCGACCTCATGGTAGATCAGAGCATAGTATTTTAGATGCTACAGGAGCTACAACTCACCTGCCAACTTCAAGCTCGTCACTGCTAAGACCCACCAAAAGTCCTGTCAGATTTATGTCGTAGATATGGGAATGAAATTACAATTTTCTTCGGAAGCCATAGGTGGGCGTGTTTGAGGCGCGGAGATACGTTGAGGTACATTCTGTGAACTATTTTGCAGTCAATAGCGCCTTTTCGCCACGAAAACGCGCCTATCTTCCTCCTTCATTCTTTGTAGAGAAAATAAACTCTCCCATCTTTGCAAACGAGCCTCAACCAACTATGCAACCGAGCCTCAACCAACTATTTCTTTAGACTTTGTCCTTCACCCATACTGGCAGTATGAATGTAGGCAGCTCTCTATGAAGGGGCATTTCTTCCAACACTTGGCTGTATAAAAACTATTTTGAGGTTAATTGATAAAGTGGTTGGAAAGCAGCTGGATGAGAAAAGGTGTGTTGAAGCGATAGAGTGGAGGCCGTATCAAAACAACCAAGTACCCAGGAATACTCAACAAGAAGGACACGTTATCACAAAACCGTCACAATAGGCGAAATCAGTTCAGCTTCTCAAATTTGGCTGATCAGTTTCCACGAGCAGTCTGATAACCAACCTCACAATGTCTGTAGAGTGTTCGGTGGGCTTGGGGAGACGCGGCGGGGTGGCGCTGCGTTAAACGACTTGATGAGCATCACATGACTATGGTCATGATTTATCTTGAATTCGTCGCCATAAAGAATTTACCACAAGATTTGCACTGTACGGAATGATAAAGCTCTTCGAAATTTCTACATATTTCAATGGAAACAACGCACATGAAACGGACGTTTACGACTAGAAAACGCGTGGGCTCAAGGAAAAGGAATGAGTGGAGCGAGGAACGAAGGGGGGGGGGAGAGGAGAATCTGGTTGGGATGGCAGATTGACGTGTAGAACACGGGAAAGGGAGTTGTTTCGGACAAATAGAGACAGGGATCATGGGAGAGGGGAAGAAAGTGAAGCGATGAAATCACAAACGAATCGGGTACCGTAAACTGAAAGTGTGGCGTGGGCGCGTGGGAGCGCGCTAGATACCCTACAGTGGGAAGATGGTGGTGGTTCTCCTGGGCACCAGAGTTGATGGGGATGGGTGAGGGGCACCGTGGCGTGGAATGTTCACTGCTTCCCTCCAGCAAGAGATCACGGAAGTCACGAATGCAATAGACTATATGGACTACTTGTTCCTTCAGGTAGTGTACTGTAGTAGTTGTACTGTTATAGCGCAATATGTCTCATGTGGCTATCAGCATTCAGTGTGATGCATGTCAAAGAGAAATATACGAAGTTATTATATACGAAGAACCGTAAGGCCACTAGGAATTCGATAGGGTACAGCAATCACATGATTATCATCGTGATCATAATCGGAGTAGAAGAATCAGCATCGGCAGCAGAATCGAGGCAAGACGAGCGTGGAACGGCGCCATTTTGACGCCAGCCCGAATTTCTTCCATATGAGCCAACGATGGCCATTAGGGCCGAGTTATGGCCTCCACCGTATTGAGTGGTCGTCGAGTAACGACATACCAGATTCCCATTTTCCAATCGGCATTGAAAAAGGTTATGTGATGAGTTATAGCTTGGCGCGTCTAATTGATATCTATTTCTTAAAGAAAGGTCGGGATCCGCGCTAGAGAAGTAATTCCCGTGCCCGGAGGTTGTATGTGAGTAGCTGCACACATTGCAGCAACTTTCCACCTTGAAAAACGTCGTTAAGCCCCGGGGCCGTCGGTTTCAATCCGGGACCGCCTCGTCAATCCGGGACCGCCCACCTCCGGAAGTGGTGCGTGGCTGGCATAACGTGTGAAACAACTAGGTTGATTGCCGTATCAACCGATAGAACGACTGACATCTCCAGAAAACTTGTTTGTACGTGCCTCTTTCCCAAGCCAGCCTCCTTCACTGCTAGTGGGGAAGAGGGTTTTAACGGCCTTGTCGACGGTTTTTTCCCAGTTTTTTCTCCACTGTCGTTCCACTTCGCATCTCTATACTCAGTTTCAATCGCCATAATATCCCCTTATTGGGCCCGACTTTTGCCTTTAAGTATAAACTGATGACGCTATCATACATCCCACCTCGTTGTCATTCAAGGTCCAGGCCGGCAGGAGCTCACCATGTGTGTAGGCTGAAAGCGGCCATTCGATAACCGGCCGACTCGTATCCCGCGCGGTTTGGTCAGCAGAAGTAGAGGGTCTGCCTGGAATATTGACTGTTTCTTTTTTACAACCTAGGACTCCTGAACTCAAAAGTACCTGAAGGGCTTGTCAGGTAGATCTGTATGTCGCCTCTCTTTGGGGCCTTCAGTGTGATAATTGCTTGCACATGCTCCAAATACACAACCTGCTCGTCAGGCGAACCAGCGCAACCGTAGGTGAGAGCGTGCAGTGGAGTCGATTCCCATGAGGTATTGTCCTGAAACTGGCTTCAATAGACAAGGTGACCTCATAAGGACTGAGTGTAAAGCTCTCACTTGAATCGACTCGGGTAGAACTGTCTGCATTTGTGCTGTTCGGGAGCTGTTGTCCAGTTCCGCGCCAATTGCCATGGCGCCGGCATCCATGAGACCGTAGCCGAAGGAGTGTGAGACATTTCGTCCAACGCCGTTCGTCACCCAGTCGCCAGCACGGAGATTGATCGGCTTAGCCGCTCGGATCACAATGTGCTTTAATAAAAAAATTCAAAAATGAGAATTTCATTTTAGGATTACTTGCCATTCTGATAGAGGGGTGGATAGAGGTCCTCTGCTGTGGTTTGTGGAGCAACTGTTCACTCGTTGTTCAACGTTCGATGCTTTTGTAGAGGAGGCGGCGCGGTTGCGCGGCGTTTTAACGCACAATTTCAAGCGTGGCGTCTCACAGCTATGGAACGTTCCTAAGGTGGAACCTAGCGCATTTTATGACTTAAAGCAACAACCCGAGCGGAAGTTGTGTTGGTGCGGCTCGAATGTGCGCGACAATGGCGCTAGGGTCTTACAAAGTGAACTATGGCGACTACTCTTGACGTATGGACGAGTTACGTCGCGCACACCCCATGACACGCAACGTGGATTACGGCGTAGCGGCTAATTCAAATACGCGGGTTAGTTGAGCCGTGGAGCAGGCAAATTCGTACAACTCGTCTGGCTCCGCCCCTTCCTTATGTCAAGGTGAATCCTTATTCAGGCTTTTCAAATGAGTATCCACAACTTCATTATCGGCTTTTGTGGCCCCACAAATTTGATAAATTTGCTGATAAATTTGTTGCTTTAAAGGAGGATTCTCGAGAAGGATGGAGGTCGAAGAAGGGAGAATCCAACTAGTGGAGAGAGAGACGGAATCTTTAGGACCAACACTCAAAATTGCACCGAAGAGTATGCTCCGACAATGTGGCGTGGGCGTCCCCGCACACCATCGTCGCTGCCCGCCCACCCTCTTGTCGTCTAACCCTAGCCGCCTAGCAGTGGGGCGTTAGGGTTGATGAGGTTAGAACTATTTAGGCATGCCTAACGCACAATTCGACAGGCAAAGGGTCCTATTTTTTCGAGTCTTGAGTTGCTTATAGTGGGTTTTTTCTTCAGCTCTGCATCGCCTGATCACCTTCTACCTTGATTTTTAGTGGGCTCTGTTTCCATGGTGAAGTTCGCCTTCAACATAGCGACCAGCATACCTGGTAAACTGGTTTGCGCAGATAGGACTAAGGTACTAGGCTGTAGAGTTTGAAGAGAAAGGTGTGTTCATGCTGGTAATTGGTCTCTCTGCCATCAGATTGGGATTATACCACCCGAGGAGGAAAAGTTTTGTTTGGGCAGTTGCTGTTCTGGTTCTCCATGAACTTAATGACTTGCTGATCTGCCGTTTCTGAGAGGAAATCCCTGTCTCCCTGATCCGAGGGATCTCTTCAAAGCAGCCTTTTATGTCTGCTGAACCCCTTGCTGTGCAGTGACCTTAATTCTCCTTTTCAACTCCCTCTCCCCGCTTGCCTCTTGCACATTGAGGGTACAAAGACCATCACTCACCTGTAAATCCCTCCACGTCAGGTCCGGGTTGGCTTCGAGTGTCAACGCCACTATGCCCGCGGCCAGCGGGGCGCTGGCTGACGTCCCCGTATGGGTGTTGGTGCAGGCATGGTGCAAATCAGTGGTGACGATCATTTTCTCGCCAGTTGCACCACTGGAATATGTGCTAGCCAAGGTGCTACTACATGCTTCCGAGTACCACGGAATGTTGCCATTTTCAGTAGCGGCCGAGATCGAGAGGGTGTAGATGCTGAAAGGAAAGCTTCAGAATCTAAAGAAGAGCAGACCTCAAGTTTGTATTATACCTATTTGGTGTGCCGTGATCCGCGATCAGTTGCTTTTGCAAATCGCAGTATTTGCCACCGGAAGTATCCCGAATGCCAACAAAAACGCACGGCCCTTCCGGTCGTGGCCTTCTTCGCGGTGCTCGCTATCAAAAGCGGCGTCGGGTCTAGTTTTGACCGGGACATCGACGTCGACCGTCGTCGTAGGCCCCACGAGCGCCACAATGGAACCAGGAATCTTCACGGGTAAGCTTTTACTTATTAGAGTGCGTGAAATAATTTACCTGTATATGCAACGTAGTCGGCAGTTCATTGGTCCCAGCGACGCAGTCTACGATATGTCACATCTCGTCCAGCATTCGGCTAACTGACATAGATAATTTTTGTCAGATACCCATAAGATTTTTCTGCGCTGGCGTTTTGTCTGCATTAGCTACTCCAATCGGGGTTATAGGGCGATTTCCATATACCAAAGGCTAGTTGTTGAAGATGGGCAGGCACCTCTCGCCGGCACATTTGGCCAAGGTGTGGCGATTCTCATCGGAATACTCATAGCGCGGCATCGGATCGTCATCGCGGTCGTTGACGTCGTACGAGGCACGAGCGTCCTGGAATTGAGCCAACTCTGATCAGGGATATTCCTTGTAGCTTTGGAAACACTTACATAGTTGGGTGCGATGTCGGGATGTGTCCGTTCGAGGCCGTCGTCCAAGATCGTCACCACGACTCCGCGACCGGTATAGCCGAGATCCCAGGCCTCTTTCACGTTGTGGTCCATCTTGGAGTTGCCGGTGATTTCGGCCCGATTCTGAAAATGCTGCGGATATTTCCCCATGGAGAGTGAAACTAGCCGAGTGAACTCACCAAGTACCACATATCAGTCCAAAGTGGATCGTTTGGGTCCGGTTGCTTCCGATTCCGTGATTTACTGACGAGTGTTTCGTCTTCGCCAAAACTCAGATCATTCTCCTAAAAAAGCCATTAGGTCTGAGAGGTCTTCTTTCCAGAATTGTATGCTCACTGGTCTCACATTAATCGGTCGAGCCCGCCGCGATCGTGTCCGTTGCCGATAGTCCCTTTTGACGCGCTTCTTGGCCACTTGCTGTTCCATCCAAAGAATCTGGAACTCATGGCTTGTACTTTCCACTCTGTTCAACGATTACTCTCGCAGGCATCTGCCCCTCACGTCAAGCAAACACAATCTGATTTAGCCCTTACAATGAGCCTTTATTTAGCAAGAGAGTCCGACTCTGGATGGGAAGAGGGTCGCCTGTGGGGGTATCGATGGATTTTCGAAAAGATTAAGAATCTGGCTTTTCTTGTAGTTGAGGGGTTTTCAGTTCAATTTGCAATTTTATTATGAAGTTTTTACGTAGTTTTGGGAACTTAATGGATGACTCAAATCTTTGTTTCTCAAGATTGCTGGGTTGTGAACAACTTTCGCCCCAGGCGGGACTAGAACCCGCACCCCTCGCTTTTCAATCAAGATCAATTAATACAATCGAAACAATCAAAATCAAATCTTAGTGCTGCTCACTGTGCTAGCCTTAGGCTCGGGTCCTCTCGATAAGGCAGAAAATTTTGCCGACCGTGCTGAACCAACCTGTGCAACTTATTATGATTATGTATGGGGATCAAGAACGAGTCATTTTGCCCATGAATCACATAACCAAACTTTCGTCTCACGAGGAGCCACCATTGATTAAAGTTTCAAAGCAAAATATTCCAAGATGTCCCCCCATAAGCAGAAGCAGGCCCTCCTTCACTGCCCTCACCGTCTTCAGAATATGACGTCATCTGCCATCACCGTCGAGCTCAAGAAGGCCTACCGTAATCGCTCCAGCCTGAAGCTGCTACATAATTTCTTCAATCGATTAACTGATGGGTAGCTTCCTAGAGGCACTAGCTCTGACTATGCAAGCCCCCCCCCCATCAGCGTTTCCAAAAATGTCGTAATGGTGGCGACCTGTCACCTCGTTGAGCTCGATCCGTGCACCATGTTCCCGTGGCACTCCCCCGATGTCGTCCGTAGAAGGCTTTTATTCATTTGGGAGTAGTCGGTTTGAATTTGGGAAGTGTAATTTCGTTTTGAATATGAAGGGGACTCCCTCCCGGGTTCGTTTCAGGCGTTCGTTGATCAACAACACACTCAAACTCCGGACCTAATCTCTACAATGCTGTTCAAGACCTTCCGGGGTCCAGTAATGGACACAGCACATGTTCAAGAGGCTGAAATACTGATTTGCACATTGGCTGTCCTCCAGAAGTCACTGCCGACAAATCGGTTCAAAATTCACTTCGAGGAAGTAAAAACGTGGCGTGTTCCAAAAGAATGAAGTGGGTCAACACAGAATGTTTTCTCAGTTTATCCTTCCATCCCACGAGACAAAGTTGCACAAGACGGCTACTTTGGAAGAAATTTTGAAACAGAGAGTGGACCGGTATCGGGTTCATTTCTGTTCGGACAAATATGTTGTTTCGGACAAATATGCACTACACTAATCACAGAATCCGCTTACCTCAGGCTCGTGGGAGATCCGATTTAGCTGAAGACTTCGAGTTTTTCCGTGAGGATCGACTTCGTTGATTGACGTTACGAAACAAAAAATACTCTTCACCCGGAATGATCTGAAATTTCACGATCAGAATGGCCCCTATGGAAGGAGGCTTACTTTTGTCCCCTCCAACGCCCACCAGCCGGAATTATGCGTACGTTGGACCGGATTTGCACGTCAGCGAGTGAATTTGGGGAATATTGGTCCCGGCTATGGCTGCGGGGTCCGGCGCCCGTCGAGCGGCGACAAAATTCGATTTGAGGTGAAAATTGAATTTAGCGCTGAACACACACATGCGCTAAGAACGCTTGGACGACTTAATAGGCGCCAATTTTCGTGCTTTAGAAATTGGAGCCGGAGGAAAAACTCACTCGACCCAAGTTCAGATACCCGTACTTGGCGGCCAGTCTCGTCGCCTCCTCCTCGGAACCGCCAGCGATTCGTACCGCCCACTCGTTCGTGTACGCTTTTCGAAGATTCGACGCCAACGAACTCGTCGCGCTAAGATTATCCTGAAACAGCAGAATAAGCTGAAGGCCGTGCAGAACGAACACAACAGGTTCAATTTTCGATTGGAAAAAAAAAGAAAAAAATATTATTGGTATTTCGAAAAGTGGAACATCTTCCCGACAGAGGCCATTTTTTGAATCAAGTTTATTTTACGTCTCTCAAAATTTTTAGCTGGGCTCGCCATACAGGACGAAAAATGGTTAACAGGTTTAATTGTTTGATGTTGATCGATCTTTCTGGTACGCGCCATATGCTCGACTTCCCTTATGGACTGCGCACACATTTGATAGGATTCTATACAATAACTTGCTGGTTCAAGAAAACGCGACGATCAAAATCAAAAGCTGAGTTGGGCGAAAGGGTGCTCTGGTAACTAACTCGCACTTGCCAGGTAGCGAAAGTTGCAGGGTTAGAATCTCGCCTGGGGCGAAAGTTTTGCGCATAACCAAGCATTCTTCTTTTCGAGGTTTTCGCGAGGTAAGGTGCGGCCAAAACAGCAGTTAACAATCAAATTCCGACCAACTTTTCATTCTCTAGGTAGGTTTCCTACTGATTTGTCGATCCAAACAGGCAACGGTGAGTTTGCTTTGGGCGGTTCAAGTTCGTTGAGGAGTACACATTGATTCTCGTGTGAATCATGTGATGAAAGACGCATCAAATCGTGCTCACAAAACCAAAATAAGAGCTAGACTGTACAAATCGAAGTAGAAATTTCTACTCTGGAAAAAAATGCCAATACTCAACAGTTACCGATTCACACCAGAATTAAAAAAATGGAGTTTTTGGTCATACCAGTACTTAAATTGGAAAAAATGCAGACATCAAATGAAAAAATAAAACGATCAACTAAATCAAATTCTTTCGTAGGGGGTAAAGCACTTGAAAATTAGTGTGCTTTCAGTGAAGGTGTCACGCATTCTACTTCTATGATCGTGAGATTTGTGATTTGTGGCAATATGAATGCAATTTTGTCTACACAATGACTTGCGGAGGCCAGTTCATCACAAGTCGGAGTTTTTAGCCTCCAGACAAGTCCGCTGTGAGCTGAAACGACTGTGGTTGGCCTGCGCGAGATTCGATCCGGAATTCCCCGATTGAAGGTGCGTGTAGCAAATGGTGCTGATTACCACTACATTACTCCCATATAATTCGAAACAGATGAAACTACAGTTTTTTTTTTGGGGGGGGGCACTCCGTTGCTATCTTATCCGTAGTACTGGAGAGCACTCCTTTGGGCTATCCAACACTATGGATAAGATAATAAGTAAACGACTCATTTCGAAGCGTACTTTTGATAAGGACCGGTGGATGTCCTACATTCCACACAACCTGCCCACATCCTATCCACTTTTCTGCACAGGTCATCCACCCTGGAGCTCCTCCACCCTTAGGCCTAGGCAGAGGTGTCCATTCTCCTGGTCCAGGACCGTTCCCTTGGACCATGGCAGGCGGAAATGTGAAAGCATCTCAGGGTTTCTCCACATTACACCGATACTTATCAGAAGTCTACTTTAAATGAGTCGATTACGTGTCGTGAGCCCTCTAATCCTTATCTTGAGTATTGGAGAAAAATGGAGTGCCCCCCCCCGAACTGGAGTTCTCACCTCAAAACATAAACACTTAGCACTATTTACCCTTGACTGGCCCACTCCTAAAAAATTGAGCCGAATTTTCATGGAAATTTGCCCATGGCTGTGAATTTAGCTAAAAATTTGCAGTCGATGGTAGTTTGACCGTAAAACACAAACATCACATTCGCTTAGCACGATAATGCTCGGCGCCGCCATAGACGGCGGCGATAAAAGGCGTCTTGGATCACCAAATGTCGTCAAAGGTAGTCTGTCCTGTAGAACACGAATATCAATTTAGTTTGTTGCGAGTGAGCCTGTAGCCTGCGCTACGGGCGCCCCGCTAAACTGGTGTGCTAGCGTCGGCGCTTGTGGCGTGAGCACTTGGTGTTGTCGCGCTAAGCTGAGGTGACATTAGTGCTCTACAGGTTGAAGTACCTCTGGGGATAGTTTCCTCGCCAAATTCTTTCATGGACAAATATCGATTCCGCTCAGCTTTTGAGGACAGGGTGGTAAAGGGTAAAAAGTGCCAAAAATTCAACCACTATCTAGGTTATGTTAGGTTGAGCTGACTGTCACAGTGACTGGGGCTCTCTTCAGCAAGATATTTCCAGGGCTACGGGAGGAAAACGAAAGAATGCGATGGAATAGATGGAAGTCCAAGAAAATCAGGAAAAAAAGAAACGAAGGTAAACAACACATGGTCCACAGAAAGTGTGTGAAAATAAAAATTGCATCAAAATCAGGAAAACTCTAATATGTGAAAAAGAAGACGAAACTGCACTTCAAATAGTATGAAAATCATACAATATAATTCATTATAAAAATATAAAAATAATATAAAAATGACATAATATAATTCATTAAAAAAAAACTGGAAGTAGAAGTAAAGAATTTCAAAATGTTTTCAAAACTCACCTCATAATTCAGTTCAGTTGCACGAAGAACACAAAATAACGAGACGAATATTAGTTGATAAAGTGAAAAACCGCTTCTAGTCAGTGCTTGTTGTATCCTCCTGAAATTTTCTTCAATTAATTTTTAAAATACGTCGAATTTTTATAGCTAGCAAAACGGAGTTTTACTCTATTTCCATTATTTCTTCTTTTCTTTTTGATCTTCCCTCCTATATCGCTACACGGCTCCCACGTGTAGTAAATTTATCCCCCGGAAATTCTTGATTGTGTGTCATTAGGTTCGGTTCTTGCCATTTGTATGTGCTAGTTATGCTGGCATACTTCCGCAAAATAAAGCGAATGTGTGTCGACTAGGGATCATATTGCATGATACCCGCGATCACTGGGGCGGGCACCAAATTTGCACGAAAAAACAACAACAAACAAACATGGAAACCTAATAACCTCTCTCACTGTTTTTACCAACTTGAATTTGAGACTTCATTCAAGCCCTACGTTTTCGGATGGTAAGAAATCTTCATGGGAGCGAAATTAATCCTTCTTTTGGGTATATGTGTCCCGAGCACTTACAAGTAGCTGAACCACCTTGAACGATCACCTTGAAGCTTGGTGAACATAGCAGGACCACCACAGATGCTTTTGATTAGGTTCCTAGGTTACAAAGCCCAAATTCTATTGAAGTGCTCTTTAGGACTTCAAGATTAAATATGCGAGATAACGTTTCGAGTGCATTTTTGCAGGGAAATAGGAAAGAAAATTAGGTAGGAAAATTCAGTTGTTCTCAAAATTTGGCCTCACAGAAAATGGGAAGTATAATATTCCATTATTGTGTCAATGTGGTACCATGCTGCTCCCTTTCACCTTCGCTGTTTTTTTTTTACCAACAGACACATCCTAACGGCTCACTCG